TGTTGTTCTCGTCGTTGTTGAACATACCTTCGCATATCTAAACATGATAATCCATAAGAGATTTCCAGGCAGAACGACAAKGCTACACARAATGCCAGACAACACAGTCTCCCATCTTACGTCCAAGAAACCAAGAATCTCGTAGAGCTAGAATCAATYGAGAAACTTAATCATAGCGATATCAAAATGCGCCATTGGTCGTCTAATGACGTCATGTGTCTCAGMACATTGCATCATGGKATTGATCAAAGAATCAAAATGGMGACTATCTTATAAAAGCTAATTAACTTTTTTTATCTCGGAAGTCGAAAATCTTTTGGAATATCACTCCCAGCATGCTCAAAAGACCTTCCTGGGAATAGACTAATGCTTTTTGTTCGAAAACCAGTCTGTGATACCTGAAGTACGAACGGAAAACAACAACACGGCCCAACTTGTACTTCAATCCCATGGTGCATGGCGTCATTACGTGAAACGATCATACGCACTGTTTTCATACCTTTGTTCCAGACGATGTGACATGGAACCAGGCAGCATTAACACAAAGAAAGCTCAGTATTAGTGAAAAGCAACATGTCAGCCGCTGAAACAAAGAAAATGAACAAATGAAAAAAGTGAATTCATGAATKAATGGATGAATTAATTATGATGAAAAAAAATTGATGGGAATAAATGAGGGTAAAGRCAGACAATGTCGAAATGAAGGATGAAAGAAATAAACACCAATCATTATCGGTTATTCATCGTCTCTTAAACATCTGAAGATTGATAAGTAAGTTGATTTTAGTAAGTTTTTCCACATACTTTTTTACGGTGTTTAATTTATCTTTTTACATAACTGTTTCTTTAGAAACACCGACGCAGCTCACACTAGTTTACCGCTAGTTCCCACCATTTGAAGATTGATAATACCTGTTTGTGATTGAAAAAACTCGACGATGGCCGAGCAAAAACCGAAAGCCAAAGGTGATAATCCAGTAAGTATCTACGACCTTCATGGTAATACAGTTGTATCTAGAACAGCAAATAAGATATGAAAGATAAATTTAAATCTCATTATATCAAAATTGAAAAGATTGCTTTTACCTTCGAAACGTGTGTCTTGCMATCTACAGGGAAAATCTCCACGTCAACCTAAAGAACAAAAGTCAATTATTCTTAGAATGCTTTAGCATACAATACTCCTCACAGCTGATTTTGACTAAGGGAGGTAAACCAGATAAGCTGTAGAAAAACCCTCGGAGCAAGAAAGAGAACCAGACTACAAACTCAAATTGCACCAATCCCAGAGATTGAACCGGGACTACATTGGGGGCAAACTGCATTTTAACATTCAGTTTTTCACACAATTCACGAAATTCAGCCAACACGCGCGCGAAGTTTCACCGGAAATAGTAGCTGGCTTGCTTGCTTACAAAATAACATAGTGGTTCTCCATCTTGTAAAACGAAAGTAACCACAAGGAAAGCTTTATCTCTTGCTACTGATACATTAAGTTTCCTGAATAACTCCATTAGCACTCATTTTAGCATTTCTTTTAATAGTAATCATAGCAGTCTGAAATAATAGTATTTTCAGCATTTTGAATAATGCAAATTTGATACAAACATCAAGAATATGGTTACCTTGCCATCGTCTTCGTCTATAGCAAGCCATCGATAGTTATCAAAATACCTAAAAAAAACCATAATATTTTCACATCATTACAATAAGGAAACGAAAAAACGCCAAATTATCACAGCAGCCATTAGGTTCGTTTACAAAGCAGGGRTGGATCAAAATGGTGAAGAACTTGTAATGAAATTTGAATTTCAAAGACAAGAGAACTTTTAATTTCAAGCAAAACAAAATGCATTGTAAAGGTAATTCATACGAACCAATGCTACTATGTTCAACTATTACCTACCATTTTTCGCCCGTAGTCATGTCCTGTATAGTGATCGTGTCCAAATACCAGCTTGGATTATCTCCATCATTGTAATGCCAAACATGGATCTTCTTCAAAGGGCTCAAATCACACGGAGAACTACAAATAAAGCRAATACATCGATAATAGACATTCCCTTTTTTCATTATTTCATGGCATTATTCATGAAGGTGGGAAACCTCGTTTCCAGGGCTCCATGCTTGCAATTTTCAAAATGGCAAACAGAAAAGACCCTGGCACGACCTGGCATCGGTAAGTTACAAAAACAAAATCCATACTTGACCGGAYGATGCCAGGTCCTTTCCTACTCTGAAAAAGCCCCTGTGAATTAGGTTGAAAAGAGGGTTGGTACAATTGATATCATAAATTTGTTTTGCATCAAATAAGCTATGATTGGTCAGAGCTCTAATTKTTTGCTTATCCATGCTGGGACTGTAGCTAACAATATCGTTAAAGCAATAAAGGGTGCAGATTAGTTGTAGCTTGTCAATGGAATAAATCGTGGATGAGAAAACACTTAAGGACAGAAAGTCATTCAAGTTTCTTTTTCTTGTTGCAAAATCTTAACAATTGTTCAAATATGTACATACTCGAAAATGAAGACATCTTTGGACCCTCTCCTAAAGAGAGGTTTATCATTGGACTTCAGTTCTATTGGGTCAGAGGTATTCGAATCACCAAACATGCGCATCACAACTGACGATGAGGTTCCAGAACCAAACCAGTGGCCTGTTTCAACGGTGATTTTGTACCTGCGATTTCAGTAATTTTGATAAATCAATAAATAATCATGGGTAAAGAAGTAAATATATTTATCATTCAAGCGTGTTYGGTTGGGTTACAATCGTTTCTCTTTTGAATCAATACTACTGAATTAAATCATTCATGCATGTTTGTGATGTCAAAAATTAAAAGTGCTGCATATTTACACCCATGCACTTCATGGCGATTTTCGAGATGGGTTGGCGCGTGAATAAACAAATTTCGGGTAAAAACAGGGGGACTTCGAGGCACACTGGAAATACGAGCGCGCCTGAGCGAAATTGCCCGCGCATCTCGGAACTCCTTTATAACAAGTTTATGTGAAGTGGACTTCTTCTTGTGAGTACTGAAACTGCCGAATTTACTCTTGATGTTAAAATCAATCAACGAGACTTTATATACATATTTCAGAGAAGGTTGTCGGATAAAACGACGAACGGAAATTTATCCTGAAAGGAGACTGCACGACCGGTTTTGCTAGCGGATATTGRGAGATAATAATAACTKATTTATACTSTAAGCCGATAGTCTTTGATTAAGTGACGTTTGGTCCAATTAGTCTACACYTTCATGCAAGGTGGACCCAACAAGTGAAGGTTTGCACGTCAAAAACCTAGCGAGAAATTAATCCCCTTAGGTCATGCGATCTCACTTCGAAAATCGCCGTTCGCCGTTCTCCCCAACAACGATTTTTTAAATAGATGTACTCATTCGATTCGGTTAATGATGACAAGAAAGTCAATCCATACATACCTGTAGATAATACGGCTGCAAAGCACATTGGCCAAGATTATTTCGCCTTCTTTATCCTTGCTTTTATTCTTGTCCAGTTTGTAACAATAGACAAGCAACACGATATACACACCAAATAAAGACAAAACCAATGMCAAACACACAGGGTTCCATGATATGCTGAAACAATATGAATATACTTCGCGTATGACTTTTGCAGTGCAATTTCTGCGGGACAATAGTATTAAAACTGAAGTTGGTAATGGACCATTTGACAAAATGCCAATTTTTTTAATAACCTTTTATTTCATTTTTTTTTTACCCTAAAACTTAGAATCGAAAATTCTTCCTRGAAACTATAGATTAAAGGATTACGATTTGAACGTTTAGTTTTCATACCTTTGGATGTCCCTCAGATCTTTGACCCTTAATGGGTTTGGCGACCAAAACGCCTTACCAACAAATGTTGTTAAATGATTACACCTGAAACGAAAGTGTGTCTCTTAGACCCTGTTTACATTAGATAGGGTGCCCCTAAGTGAAAGGGCTAACTCTTTAGTTTACTTTTTTTTAAACTCGTTTTCATGTCATGGCCTGCGATATTTTTGAAAGCACTACATAAATCATCCTGTGAAAAAGGTTTTAAATYAATATTCTTATTGTCGTATCAAAAGAACTTTCATGACAAACCTGCACTTGATAAACGTATCAGTGGTGTTGTCAGTAGGCAAACAGCCCTGGGTAGACAATGTCTGYTTCTCTTCATTCCAGTAGTAACAACCAATCCACTTACTGCTGATAGAGTAGTTTACAGGTGCAGCACTAAATATCTACAGCAATGATAACAAATTCACTAATAATTCATGAAGGAAAACTATGGAAAGTCATAGCCGTGACCACATTTTCACTAGACTGCGCACCAATCAATCAGAGCGCGCAATCCCTAGTAGATACCTTTTTAATTCTGTTGAGGTCTGTATCTTTCATGACAATACCAATACGTATAACACTCGATGCTACAGGAGTAACAAAACATAGTGTGAATCAATCGAAATAAAAGAGGTCGAAACACAACTCACCATTTATTAGGTCTTTGGCGGTAAACTTGAAACGAACTGAACCCCCAGAAGAAGATTTTAATACGGTTGATGTTTGTATGTCCTCTTTGCTGTTAAAACTGTCAAGCAAAATAAAAAATATATGATTTGAAGCCGTTACGGATAACAAGTAGGGAGTCGAACGAAAAATCCTACTGGATTCATGCATTTTACAGATGTCCACTCGACCTCGAGGTCTAATTGTTAAATATAAAGAAATCACGTTTCAAATGTTTTAATCGCTTTAGAGTCAACCCATGTTTGATCAAAAATGATTGCCCCTATCGGTTCCAAACTGTCAGTCATCAATTGATGTATAGACTACTAGTTGATGGATATTGATGGAAAAGGTAGTATTTACCTGACAAATATTCTAAGTACCAATCCCTGATCAAGTTTCGATAGTATTTGAATGTCTAGCTGCAAAGTGTGGTTCTCCATGGAGGGATTAAAATGCACAGAGTGAATGTTAAGATACTGCCAATTCACTGTGTAGAGCTHGTTGGCACTTTTTACCTGGAGTGACAATTAGCAATTAGACCCTGAAGACGATAGCTGAAGCCCTATAAGCCATGGGTACTACATCATAATACCTTTTTTCAACAGCTATAGTGCCACGCCCCTGCTAGTTTAGAACATGGCCAAAATAAAGGCCTTTTGCATAAAACGGTGACATGGTATAAAATCCTCCATACTGAATGGGAAAAGAATGTAAACAACCTCAAAAACAAAAGAAACGCAGCTCGAGAAACTTGACTTTTTTTTGTTTTTAACACCGTAGTGGGTATTTTGCGATCTAGCATGGCGGATTTATTTTAGTACCATGTGACCGTTTCAAGGCCTATTACATGAATTTAGTATTSCCATACATAACAAACCGTTAAAGAATAAGATTTAAAATACACATTCAATAATCGCGACACCATACATATTGCTAYCATCTTTTCCCAATCACTRCTATCATCATTGCRCGTAGGCCTACCTCTTTGACTAACCAAGGCAAAGTCACTTCAATCTCGTTTTGTAAATGACGCACATTGATTGGTTCTGCATTACAATTGCTTAACACTAAGCTTGATGCCTTAGTTTCGTACTGCAAAACAAAAATACCTCAATGTAAAAACTCTGTCATGCATGTTCACATTAGATTTTTGTTCTCAATACTTTTGTTTACGTTGCAAATGATTGCTAGTTTGCGTAGCGGCCCTTAGGGGACTGGGAAGGGCCGAGCGGACCTTTTCGTCCTCCCCATTCTCCGCTCGTCCCTGCCCAGTCCCCTTAGCCGCAACGCAGACAAATGATTCCTTACCAATTGATTTGCACTAGTATTCCATGTATACGGGTTTTCTTCATATACAACCATAGTAGTGCCCACACAGGCAGTAGAAAACGAACGGTTTTCTAGTCCTAGTTCTTTGTCCATTTGGGAGGGCAAGAGAAATGTAACATCACGTAGTGTCCAGTTGGACTGTTGCATCAGTTTTGACTGAGATATTACAGCACTGAAGGAAGGCTGAAYAACCTTCGAGCTTTTTTCACCAAGTACTAAGGTTTTGAGATTATACTGGGAGAAAAGGCGACAATTATAAAACAAATCAAATTTTCAACAAAATCAAATTTTCAACAGACATTGGAAAGACTAGCGAACATGTCCATGGGGAGTAAGGATGGTCGAGCGGTTAAAACGCCGGTCTATCAACGCTGTGGTCCTGGTTCGATTCCCGGTCCGGGATTTTATGTGATTTGAGTTTTGTAGGCTGGTTCTCTTCCTTGCTCCGAGGGTTTTTCTCCAGGTCCGCTGGTTTTCCTCCCTCAGTCAAAAACTAGCTGTGAGGAGTGTCGTGTAGTAAAATAGTGAATGTTGAGGTATTGAGTATGAGTGAATATAGAGGGCCACAAGTTTATTAGTCTAAGGACTATTACGTGCTACCCTCTCAAAACAAAAGACTTTATTTATACGAGACTTGAGGACGGAGGGAAGAGAGGAAAAATGAAAAGTAAAAAAAGAAAAAGAAGGACGAGAAATAGCAGCACAACAAAATTCAAATCTAATATTCAGGTAGTTAGGAAAAAATATACCACAGTAAATACAGACGATACAGCTCTAATTTACCTTTGTTACTTCGTGAATACCCTTCATGCTTTGAAGTTGGATTTTCTTATGTTTAACGGGGTGAGATCTACATTACAGAAAATGCATGTGTTGAATACCACATCWATTGGTTCTATCAAGCTCTATTGCAGAAACCCAKTCCATTACCTTTGGAATTGCAKAGAGCCAGCCAGGACGTTTGATAGAGCTTTGGTTAACAAGTTAAGAAGGTTTGTGGTCAATGCATTTGATTTCTGCGAGGCTTGTTTCACTATCTGACTCTCTGCTTCAAGCATCAGATGTGATATCAACTCAAGTTCTTCAATATTTAGCTAAGAAAGGAATTAACAACGTAACTAGAAATCCAGGGTTTTACATTGATATTCATGCAGTTTTGGTTAAAATTGTGTAAGGGCTAGGCTATATAGGATAGGTACATAAAGCGTGCTCTGTCAATACCACCTACTACATATATTCAACTGGCCTCCTTTGCAAGCAACTCTCTTCAGCGAGAATCCTGTGTTAAAGCAGAAATCGCCCGGAGGGGAGGTTTTAGGCACCATTTCTAGGTCAGGATAAATCAACACAGGAAGACCAAGGAGAAAAATCCGTTTCCTTAGGAGTGGTCTACGAAGGAGTCTAATATCCAACATTTTAAGCTCGATTGTAGATCGGAGCCCAACAGAATGTGTAGTTCGCAATAACATAGTGTGCTACATGAGTTAGCTTAGCTTACGCTAACCCCTATACTGCATCAAAAACAACAGCCATTACATGAAAACCAATCATAAGAAAACATTTAAATCTCACTTCTGTCTTCACTCTTGTAAGACCTTCAAGAGCCTCTGCTGTTTGAATAGCTGATGTCTGAAGTGATAATAAAAAGTTTAGCATTCAGACATCAGTGTAATTTTCAGTGCATTTTGTTGCCCTTTAATTGTCACAAGCTATCAGTAAATGATTCAGTAAATTATCTCCCTTCTCAATTTTGCAGTGACTGACAACTTAAAAGATTAGAATTGTCACTTATTCTGGATGTAAATACCAATCCCTATATTCATGACAGATAATCCAAAATTAAWGCAGATACATGTGTACAGCGGCTTTTGCTCACCATATCTCGAATTCTAAATTTGCTGATAACATTCACCATCTCAAGTCGTGCCTCTTTCCTTAAATGGAATTTTGAGCTYGTGTTTTTGACAGGAGAAAGTCTACAATAAAATGAAAATACCTTTAATATTTGCTTTGAATTGCGCGAACATGATCAAAATACCGAGGAACCTTATATGATTCACAGTGACTTTTGTTAAAGGGCGAAGACGGAACGGCATGGGTTTTCACTCTCCATTGCCACAAAGATGTTTATTTTTCCCAGTTCCCTTCTATCTGCCGTCAATTAAGCGTTCCACCAACCAGAAACAATGAAATGCTTATCAAAAGAATGTACATGTTTTACCTGTTGAGTGCTTCAGACAAAACTTTAACAAATTGCTTTACTTGTTGTTCTTTGCCAACTTTWATCAAAGTCTGCATGTAGGTACTCCTGGTCTTGTTTAAGCTGGAAAAAGCCAATAATATTAAATGTCAGTTTCCGCAGCATTTATTCATAAAGGGCTTGCTTTTCTAATTATTGAAAAATCAATAACTTGAAGGAATCAAGCAGTTGTACATGCGCATGCTCTTATATATGTGATTTGGACCACTTCACAGTGTAAACTGAGTTATTTTCAGCCTTAAAAAATCTGACAGAATAGGCAATGTGTGGCGAGGCCATGTTGTGCAGCAAAGCATGATGGTAGTTGCAGTACACGTACTTATTAGAGACCCTAAAATATCTTCCTAAGAGCCGTTTTTACATTTTCTTAGTAGAAACGGTAAACCTACTTCTATGTTTGCTTAGAAACGGAAAAAACTGCTAAGGAGGACTGTTGTAGCAGACATAAAAAAATACGAGGACTACAAAGCAGACATAAAAAAATACGAGGACTACAACTACCACCATGTTTTTCTGCACAAATGCTGTCGCCGCTCATTGCCTATTTAAGATTTAGTTCTGTCTGACGAGTGTTTCACAGAGAATCATGCATGTTTCCTTGTGCTCAACTATTGTATGTTTTGCTCTGCACTATCTATGTCAGTGTATTGAGCACTGCTAGCTACAAGTTCTCTATTCATTACTTACAGATATTCTTCAGATGAAACATTATGAATTATTGTAGGTTTAACTTTTATGGTCTTGGGACACACTTGTACTGTACTGCCTTTGTCATCATATGCAGAAATGAACAACGTGACTGAAAGACATAGATAGRACAGATAGCTAACAAACCACAGGAAGTGTACCCACGAAATGAAGTATACAACATAAATTTCTTTTCTGACACTTGAAAACAAAGAATTATAAAGACGGGTTGTACAGCTAAATGTAAGGTCCAACATGCGTTGCTGTTGTTCAATTGCTGCTTAGACCCAGTTCACTGTACGCTGACCTATCGTCGAGCCCAACCAAATATTTATACCTTGAAACAATTCATTTCGGTGCGACTGTGGCAAAAGATTGAAGCTCTTTTTTGACAATAATAGCCGATGCAATTTCGTGTCACTGGAACTCTTCTTATGCTTTTTATGTATTTATTTGAGTGAACGAATGAATGAACGCCATGATTTTTACCATTTTGTTTGGCGGAACGCTATCAGGATGAATGAACCAGGTCTATAGTACCAGATGGTGTCAGTTGATCATGGCCCTTTAAAGACAATATGACCAGGACCATGGTTGAGTTACCATGGTTATTATCTGGTCATGAATAGTGGTACAATCATTTGCTACTAATGAGCTTAATACTTCTAAATGTTAAAAATAATTACCACTAAAATTTTGTTCTTTTAGCCCAGATGGCAATGTGAATGATGGCTCTAAGTTAGTTCCTGAATAGAGAAGAAATTCCCTGTCTTCCTTTACATCAATCTTGTACGTTACTCGGTAATTAAGTCGCTTTGAAAAAAAAAAGAAGATGATTAGTTCATAATAATATTATAATGTAAAGAAATGCTAATTCTAGATATATGGAAATAGATCTACAGATAATTTTTATTATACTTCTCAATCATCTATTTGCGATTTACAGCACCATGTTATGTTATCAATCAAGACAGTTTTTTACTCACAAAAAATATGTTGTTTAACTTACTTTGTCACTTTCGTCTTGACACTTGAGCTTGAATTCTGTTTCAATCTCTTGCCCTGACGGTGGCTCAACACCAAACCTCCCAATGGTTGGAATRTCATTAACTTTAAAAAAAATATTTGCCATGCCTTGCCTGTCCGAATTCAAACCTGATTTGACATTCAATGCTACCATATATGTTTTACCACTGACGAGATTCTCCTTGTTCAAAACAAAATTTAGGTTGTTCAAGCCAGTTTTTGTCTTAAAGTGTGTCATGTCATATTGTTTCCGTTCAATACTTAGCAAGCGATGACGATCAGCTGCCTCCGGAACAACATAAGTAGGCTCATACAAAGCTTGGGTTTTTTCTTTGGTATGACTTGGTGTTGTAGCAGGCTTAGTTCTTAATGGTATCTGGGTCGTTGTCAATGTACGCTGTGTAACGTCTATGCTTCCTCTAGATGTTTGTGGAGAATTTGGTAAAGTGCCTGATCCTGTATTTACAGATCCACCTGTGTAGCGACCACGTCGACTTGAAACTGATGAGAAATAATTACATTCGTCATATTATAAATTGTCACTTGATAATGTTAGAGATAGCAAAAGCAGCGTTGAACTCCAGTTTTTAAAAGCAGTGCCAGTGGTGCAGCTCACTCCTGTCTTGTTCACTATTTTAGTTATCTTAGCTGAACCCTCTCATGGACATCTCTACCAACAGAAACATTTTTCATTTCCCAGGAGTATCTAGTTATGGAAGATTCAACAGTATGAAGATCTATACTTAATGGTGCAACTTACCAGTTGGTCTACTAGTAACACACAGCCAGTACGAGTTCTTGGATGTTTGTTTACAATTTGATGGAACCGTTAGCGATGAATTACAGGTTTCACCTGCTTCTATTATAGCTGGTTCAGGATATGGGCCTGTGGTTGCAAAACTAGTGTAAGGATTTTTTGTGGTCTTGATGACATCAGGTCTAGGCCTTCCAGTAGATCGTCCACGCCATGTTGGTGATGTCACAGGTTGTTGCATTGACTGAGGTACATCAAACTTGTATGCTGACCTGACTGTCGTTAAAGGGGGTGCTTCTCTATGAAATGCATCTCGTTGGTGAGGCATTTGCGAAAGGTTAACACATTTGTCTTGCTCAAAATGTTTGTCTTTGCTCACAAGATAAAGTTGCCATTTTAAATGGAGGTTTTGATCTTTCCAAGTACATGTCGTACATTTCCCTTGTACAATCAATGCATCATTATAATTCACCTTTGCATTTTCACATTGTGGACAACGTACCGACAACCTACAATTCAAGCATAAAAAACAAGATGGTAGTTAAATCATGTCTGATATGTTCTCTTAAAGTGGATCATCATTTTAAAAATTCTAAATCATTTATTTGATGTTCGACTCAAAACTTTGCCTTCTTTTAAGCAACTGACTTTAAACTTGACCAACCTCTGAAGCAATCATTTACTCATACTATGATATATTCGTATTRCATCTTATGCAAGTAATTAGTGATTTATATGTGAATTAACAATTTAAAAAATATCCTTGCTCAGCGGAAGTCTTTTCGATTTTTTTTGCCATGTTAATCACAGTTTCAAGACTTCGGCTCCAAGGAATATCTTAAAACTTGGCCAGGATTGTAAGGTTAGACTGCTATTGTAAAACCTTAGCATGACATTTTATSGGAACCAGGTGCATGGTACAGTGGTGCACTCTCTTTGAGATATATTCTGGCTATCATGGGCACTGTTACCATACATGTGCAGTAAACACAGAAACTAGAGTGAATTTCGTATGAGTGGGAAACGGACGGTACTGTACTGTAACCGTAATCGTACTGTAACCAAATTCTAGTGTCTCATTGCTTCACAAAAATTGTGCAGGCCAGGTCCTGTAACTGTGCGGTATCC